CAAATTCTCTATCACATCACTTCTATTTGAACTTGAGCATGTGATATTGATTACAATAATTGAAGGACAAATAACATGTTACTTGTTTGTCCATGACAGTGAGAAGTTTTGGCGCAGTGCTGCACTTTCATCATTCTGCCTATGTTTTAGCAAGAATTGAATGGTTCATTTTTCTCAAAATACTGGTGATGTTGGATCAAGTTTTATTAGATAACATTTTTTAATAAGAGCTATGTATTTGTTTTAATTATACTCATTACTCAAGAATAAAATGTCAATTGGTGAATACAATGTTTTGTCACCCATTTTTCAGATCGGGGAAATGTAAGGTTTTTGGAATATATTCTTAATATAATCAGTTTCAGCTAAGATTTATAAAAAGTTTACAGTAAATAATGCTTAGAATTACAAAGTAAATATTACTTTAAAAACATACTTTCGGCTACTTTTCATACAGGGGTCCGATCTTTAACACTGTACCTATTTTAAATAGAAATCATCAGTCATCGCATGCTCATAAAATGTATCGCTTATTCAAAACTTACCTCACTCAGATGTTTGTGATATATACGAGTAAATAAACAATATTTTCTTTTCTTGACACGTATCGAATGTCGGTGCTGATTGACCTATGTAGTCTAGAGAGCAGAACTGCCTACTTGACGCTTTTCCGCCTTTTGATGGAAGGCGAAGGTGAGGACCTTATGGTCAGCCAAAATGAAAAGGTTCCCTTTATCGAGCATGTGCTGGAAATATTTCATCACAGAGTAGACTGTCAGAAGCTCTCTGTCACATATACTGTAGCGCTGTTGACAAGGGGTGAATTTCTTGCTAAAGAACGCATGGGGTTGCCAGACATGTTCAGTTAGTTGCTGAATGCTGCACCCATTGTGTCCCAGAAGCATCTGTCACTAGTGCCAGTTTCGTAGAGAGGAGAGAGTGTGCAAGTATGGTGGCTTGAGACAGGCTATTCTTGCAATCGTTGAAGGCTTCTTCAAGTGCAGGGTTCCACTGTATATCTTCGTTTCTCTATCTCGATTTTGGAAGAGGATCCTAGCTAAAGGTTATTCAGTGGAGATTGAGAAGAGGCTTGCGTTAGGAATGACCCTCTAATAGAAGCTTAGCATTCCTAAAAATCTGCAATGTTGCTTAGTGTTCGCAGGGCGAGTGAATTCTTTGATTTCCTGCACTTTTTTGACAGTGGATTGCGAGCCATTTTTCGAGGTGCCGTAGCTCAAAAACTCAACTTCTGATAGTCCAAATTGACATTTGTTAACGTTAAGTACCCCGTATTCTGAAGATAATGATGCAACGATGCAATACAATGTAGACGAAAGTGAAGTCTAGGCCTCTTACCACTTCATCCATAAACGCTGTAAGTTCTGAGAAGAATTCCGCAGGCCAAAGGTCATGTATGAAAATTCGAAGAGCGTACCAGTTCGATTTAGAAAAAATTGGCTTGCCTGAAGGATTCTGCGCGAAGTTCTGGATGTGTCGCAAGGGATATCAGTCAGGAATAGTTCGTGCGTTGAGGCACGCGATAGTCGCCACATTGTCTCTATTGTCCATCTTTTTTCGTAACCATGTGTAGTGGGGATGACCAACAGCTATCGGGTAGCCTAGCTACGCGCAGTTTCACCAGCAGGTCGAGCTCCGCTTTGACGGACAGCCTTACATTTTTCGAGATGGAAGCGTCTTGGTTTGGCACTCACAGGGGGTCCGGGGCTGGTACGGATATGGTGTTTCGTGAAGTGGTGTCGCTCCCTGGTTTAGTTATTTCTGGGTCTCTGCTAAGCAACTTATGGTAAGCTGAAGTTCCAGAAATAGACTTCATGGCTTGAATTCCTCCTTTACCATTTTCTGCAGCTGTTGTTAGTCCAGTGACCGAGTCGATCAGCTGTTGTCTGTGTACATCCACCAAGAGCTTGAAATGTGTCAGAAAATCGACACCTATGATGGGCTAGTCACGAATTACCACACTAATTCGCAGAGACCTAAGTGTTCACCACTAAAATGCTAATTAACAGCGAAAAGTTCATAGGCGGATTGTTCACAGCGTCTTGGGATGAACGAGCTCGGATAACACAAAGGTCGGACCCGGTAATAGATTAAAATTGTTTTTTGGATGTTTGTCCATGTGGCAGCTACTTTCCGACAATGGCAGCTGCCGTCTTAGCTTTCCGCATTCTTGCAGGTGAGACTAGGCCTCTAAAGTTACACGGTCTGGTGCATTTGCACCAACCCGCCGATAATACCAACAGATGATATTGTGGGTGTTTATAGAGGTACTGTTGGTGCTGGGCTGTTGCGGTTGCCGTTTTTTTTCTCTCACGTTTCTGGGCCTGATGGAGCTGCCGTCTCTGCGCCTTTTATAGGTAGTTCTGTGCTGCACTTATTGCCTTGTGGCATTGCTTTTTCTGTGATCCTATCTGCTAGCTCTGCCACTTCTTGTTTTTCCATGGGCGATCAAGATAGCTCTGGCCTGTTTTTGGCAGTCTATTTAGCTATACGGATCTTACGAGGCTGTCTGGTATATCTGTTTCAGCAAGGCTCTTAATGTATCGAAGGTATTGATAGGGCTTTCTGTCGCCTAGCTCTTCATGCTCCAGCAGCTGTTGGAGCTTTTGTTCTTGGGAAATCGATAGCTGTTTAATGAGGTTAGATTTCAAGGTCTCATATTTATTTGAGACCGTAGGGTTTGTAACGAGCTCCTCCTCTTCCACATCATAATTCTCCTCAAGATGTGAAATTACATATGCAAATTTGATTTTATCTTAGTCATACCGCTCATATAGAACTGGCATTCCACTTGTGCGACCCAAGAGGCGGGCTTCTTTGGCCAGGAGGGTGGATTTCCAAGACACAAAACTCTAAAGAACCACGTCGAGGTAAACGGTTCAGTGGCGACGAAGATATTCAACATACTAAATAAATACAAATTGAATTAACGATACACATTGTTAATGCTATGTGACGCGTTCCGAGATCAACAGGGAACTGCTGACGAGGGTTGTAGCACCCGGTACAGCCGAGGAGCGGAACTATTAATAGCAACGACGACAGGTGTCGTCGTTGATCAAGAGGGTTGTTCCACGGTGATCCCAAGAGATGGAGTCACCCCATTGTTCCTAATAATAATTTCATTCTCTCTCTTAAATATATAATGTAAGCGACATTAAGTATTCATGGTTCGAATAATGCATAAGCATCGAGAAGATAATTGACTGTGAACAAGCTGCAACTAAAGCCTCTTGAATGCTTATTGTTACGCTTCCTAGGCGTATTTGTGTAACTGGAAATATCGATCCAGATCCACCAGATATAACTAGACGAAGGTTTATTATTAAAATTCTACAAACAGGTAAAGCAGTAGTAGAAAAAACAATATGCCGCCATAAGGCAGGATTTATACCAAAAGTCGTTATACTTACATGTTAGGAAATGGATGTACTGGGAAAAAAACGGTTAATACTGGACGAATGTCTATTATACTGCAGATTTAGCAGATTAAGGCCATGTTCGCAGGGTATTCGGGTCTAGGAAAAATTTGAATTTCAAACTGTCATTTCTCTTTTCTTCTTCTCAAAAACCTCGCATACCTCGCCGTAAGTAGTTTATAACCTCAGACATGACCGCGAGCGTAAGTAGCGCCATCTACTTCTGGCTGTACAATGTTCCTTAGTTTTGTAAATAATACACCATCGATGTTATCCCGCAAAACAAGTATAGTCGTTAGATATGAGACCTCAGGGTGAGGTTCTGTGAACCTGGTTTTGGATGCAATGCGGTTGCGGTTTCGGCGCCACCTAGTTTCAAAAACTAGGAAATGAAAAGACAAGTAACAAGCATACAGACATTTAGTGAACAGGAAAAATAAAAAAAAATGAAATAGAAGTTATGGAGGACAGACTAAGAAAATTATTCCGTATTACCCTCTAGCTAAATGGTTTCCGGTAATATTGAAAAAGGAAAACCACCTATGCTGGTGCTAGGCTATTACCGGTAGGCAACCGAGAGCAGAAAGTCCCAGATGTAACCTGAAGGTAGAACCCGAAGATAGAACCCAATATAGCCCCACGGTACCCAATGGGTGCTTAGGCCTTAGGCCTTCGTGGTAGTTGGAGTATAAAAAAAGGTAGAGCCCAAAGGTAGAACCGGATGGTAAAACCCTTGAACAATGAGGGTTCACAAAAATGGGAACTGCTCCTCCAGGCGTGAGTCCCACTCAAATTCGCCTCGGACTATCCCTGTAGACGGTTCCCCTCAACTTGATGGTTGAATGTAGTTATGTCCACGGCTAAATCTTCAAGAGGGTGAGACAAATGCTCCGACAAAAAAAACACCAAGTGCGGCCGATTTCTAATAAAAAACCCACACCTTATATACCGCAACTCAGCGTGTGAAACTATTTCACAGAATCGGGCAGTGGGCCACAGAATTCCTACAACCAGAGCACAGGAAATAGCACCAAGTCACTTTCAGCTCTCGTATTTACGGTCAACAGAAATTATAAAAGATAACCTCCAACGAGATGGAGAGTAGAGTACGATTTTCTACCACAAAGTTATTAGACCAGGAGAAGTGTTTTATTCCTAAGAATAAAATCCGATATTTTTAAGAACGGCTATAAAATTATTACTCGAAATAAGAAAAACGTAACAATTTACTTTTTCAAGATGTAGTTGATTTTTAGTCGACCACTAAAAGAAACTGTAACATCGAATTTATTATAACAAAATATGTTGAGTAACATCTAGTACCGCATTCTGAACCGAAGCTGCATTTTTTAATTATTACACACCAGTAGAAGTAGGCAACGGAAAGTTATTAGACAATAGTCTAAAAGTAATCGTGCGACTGTAATTAGCAGTATTTTTAGTAGCGATTCTTAGATTTGAATGCTCTACAGCTATAAATTAGTTCTAGTGAATATTTTCCATTACCTTTCCTATTACACTATAAGTTAAAATAACATAATCCATAAGTAAAAGGTGTTTCAAGAAAAAAGTTCCAATGTTAGATATAACCACCTAAGTTGTATCAACAAATGTTGTAGCGTTTAATTATTAGCTTTAGTTATTTTTGAAATAAACGTTTTCATTGTTTTGAAGTTTCTTTATCTATAAACAAAACGAATATGCCCGCAAAACCAGTGGCATCGATGGTGAGCTTCTACGCTACTAATTGAGGCTAGACACGTATATTATTCAATTAATGTTGTGATGAGGTGCCATAGCTTTCTTCACATGCCATATAATGTTTCCAATATCAAGCTTCACGGTGTTTTCGGAATAGAGGAGGCTCAACCTTTTCATAAGAATATTTAGAATTTCACCTCAATATTCAAACCTAAGTATCTTCAAAATGAGTGATCTGATAATATTCCTTAAGAGACAACATTTATGGGAAACTGAATGGTATTTTAATATATACTTATTTTTCCGAAAAGGGCCAGTGGCGTAGAAAACATTACTTACTAGGGGTCCAGGTACCCCAGTTCTTCCGGCCCTGGTTGAATTTGGCCGGGAAACTGTGCGCGTTTATTACTTATGATGTGTTCACTGAACGTCAAAAATCTTGAAAATGTGTTTACCCGCTCCTTGGATATAATATTTTTTCAATTTCTTAAATAAAACTTCATCACCCCTGTCTCTCGGTAGGGGACCATCTTTGGACCCATTATATAGGAACTTTTTGGTTAAGTTTTTGATATACTTTCTACCCTAGAAATATTGTAACGTCTTTTTAAACACCCTGTATAACATGACAGTATAATAGTAAGTTGAGCACATTGGAAGTCAACTACTTGTAAAAAACAGTGTTGGTGAGGTGAGGTCTCATTTTCTATCGACGAAAATAATTGTAGAAGACCGTGCCAGAATTGCTTATTATAAGAGATCTGGGTCGATACGACACGCACCATGAGCAGCACGAAACAGCCAAAATAAAATATGGTAAATCAAGGCTAATGGTAAGGAAGATTGGCGCAAGTCACTCGCACGAGTATCTAATACGAAAAAAAAGCTCAAAATATATAACAAGGAAGTCAAACAGTGAGGGTTGTAGAGGAGGGGGTGGAAACCTCTCAAAGTTGATGGTTATTTTCCAATGCAAAAACTGCAACAGCCAAGAGGGCCTCGCGGCAGTTTAGAGGCAACAAGCGCACTTGTTGGAAACTTGGCTTCAGCATGCCTTTTTATAAATTCGAATGATATTCTCTCATTTATAAAGGAGCTGAAGATTATTAATTATAATCAGTCTGCCATCACAACCGATTTCGTCTACAGGTTCGACTGAGATCGTATGTTTCTGTACACTCAGCAAACGCGGTCAGTTTAATATTAATAATAATATGTACATAATACTTTTTAATTAATACACATATGGCAACTCTGCAACTCTATGCTCGAAAGCAAAATGCATCTTTAGGAATTCTCCAAATATGGATATGCTCGCTCGCTTAGAACCTTAGCTATGAATGCTCCTGATAGAAATGCGTATAACCTAGTATGTATATAGTGCAGAATGGCTCCTCGTAGTCGTGAGCTGCTACCCCATGACCATTTTGGATCTCATTTGCATGAACGTGACGTTCCATTTATTGAACATTTAGAAAGATATAGTGTAATAGCAGAGGTATGAAGTTCAATGGAAATTGTTATCATGTTACTGCTAAGTATGTTAGGTCGGGCGAGCCAGGTCTTCCTAATTTTCCAGACATTAAATCGTATTCATAACATTTGCGAGAAAGTAAATACCTGCTTTGTATTGTAAAATATACCAAGATGTTTACGTAAGCATGTGAGGATGGTAAGTGATTCGCTTGCTTTTGCTGACAAGGTAAATTTTTTTTAAAAATCTGCTTACGTAATACTTGATCTTGCGCTAACCACTTCGCTACTCAGACCTCCTATTATTTATAGCTACTGAAAAAAGAAACAAGAGACCGGGTGCTTAGGCATTATTTTGGGAATTTTGTTTGATTCTTGGGCATTTGGTGGCCCTCATCAAGCCAAGACTATGCGCACTGCATGCCCATAGGGTAAAGACGAAATAGCTACCGAGCACTACGGATTACTCAGGTCATTTCGAGTGGAAAAAGTCCTATGAACATGGGTCCGCAAACGCTTACTTATCGAGACAATATTTTTTTTATTTTTAGGGTGCTAATGGTGTGAAAACCGCAATATTGTTGGAAAATTACTTTTAACACAAAGTTACTAGGTATAATAAAAATAACTATTCACAATAGTTGTTCAAACTGTCCACCTTCATACTGTAAACATAGTCTAGCCCGTTTAATAATGTGACTGGTGGCTTTCCCAATAAGAAGACGATTACTTCTTATGTCGTCAGCGACATCAATAATTTTACGGAGCAGTTCAACACTGGTATACGATTTATCTGCATACACAAAAGACTTCATATGTCCCAACAAGTAATAATCCAAGGGATTTAAATCGGGCGAGCGAGGTGGCCAAGAAACTGCGCCCCCTCGTCCAATCCAACGCCCAGGAAAAGTGTTATTTAAATACTCAGTCACATTTCTACTACTGTAGGGCGGAGTACCGTCATGCTGTAACCACATCTGTTGTCTTCTCTGCAGCGGAATATCCTCTAACCACACAGGCAGTTCTTGTCGTAAGAATTGAAGATAAACTTCAGATGTCAACCAACCATCAACCACAAAGGGCCGACTAAGTGATCCTCCAACAAACTGCACGACACATTAACAGAAAAGCGGTGTTGTAAATTCCGTTCGATAGTTGCGTGGGAATTTTCAAGCTGCCAAGAATGAAAATTCCTCAAGTTGAACAAAATCTTTTTAACAAGATTACGATTTACGAGGAGCCAGTTACAAAACTGCATACAAGGGTCCGGATCAGTGAGCAGCAGAGCATGGACAGGTTGCAGATGAAATGGGTGCAAACCAAAGTTGTGCATTGTTCTCCACACAGTCATTCGGCTAACACCAGTGCGACGTGATATTCTGCGGACGCTGGTTGATGGTGACCGTTCAACACTATCCAGTATTAAGTCATGGGCAGCCTCTGATGGACGTGTTACAGTAGCATTTGGAACCGATCCTGTTGCTTTCACATGTGCCAAAACTCTTCCAAATACCCTTCTGTCAGGTATTCTTCGATTTGGATACCGGCGGCGGTATTCGTTCACTGATGCTCTGGCATTTCCGGTGCAATATCCGTAGACAAACAGCATATCACCGTATTCCTCACTTGTAAAAACAAACATGACCATAGATAAACCCTTCTAGAGATGGGAAACTCCAATACTAAATAAGTTACCGTATTTCTGCGACCTCTGGTGCATTGGTCTTACACCAGTACTGAATAATGGGCCTTTCCTTAATACTGGGACTTTCTTGATTAATGGGCCTTCCCACATTCTGATACGTATTGTACGCCCAGAAAGTTGGCTATACGAAAGAATACGGGCATAAAATTTTGAAGGATTTTGCAGATTACCCAGTATTTATATTGTGTGATCTGCAAAATCCTTCGCCAATTTTTTTGCCAGCATTCTTCCGCAAAGCCAACTTTTGCTGGGCGTACTAGTGAAATAAGGAATTCAACAAATGAAATAAATTATTATTTATTCATGTATTTATATCACAGCTCTTATTATTTGTAAACCTAGATTACAATAAGAATAAAATGACTATACTTCAGCCAATCAGATAGTAACTTTTTACTGATATGTTAAATAGACCTGTATTTCCCAACTCCGCATTTTGTGTATAGCAAATTAGCGCAAAAATTTACATTGCTCATCAAAGTAAATCAATTATTATATAGGCTATTTTCTGTACCTTCTATTTTTGAGGTACATTTCTTTGGCCTGCCTGTTGACAGGATCATTGTTGGATGAACGCAGGTGTCTACCACTCAGAGCTCTATTGATGCTGACTGCCCAGTTATGACACAGAAAGATGATAAATTTAATACCTGTCCCTGGATAGGGCAGTTGAGTGGTAAAGTAATCTTTGATAAAACAAAATTAATTGAAAGTTGTACGGAATTTATCTTGTAACCTACCTGCGGCACCATATACATAACAATATTGTATATATATATATATACAACTTGCTTTATTATGGTGGGATGACAGTATTTTAATTTTGCAGGCATAGCTTTTAAATATTCTTTTTCAGACGTGAGGGCGTGCCATTCGTCTACAGGATGTTCCGAGAATACATCTTTAATGCAAACTTCTCAAGATGAAATATATTTTTTTACATACTTGGTCATAAAACTGCTCACATATCCTAAACTAAGTTTACTTATATATTGCAGTGCTTGGTTAGGTACTTCTTTTGGAAGTGGACACAAATCCGTACTTGTAGGCACTACCACATCTTGAGTGATGCATTTTTTTACCGCCACTATGACATTTTTTGATTCATCATCTTCACAATTGGCAGATTCTGAGTGGCGGCTTGAAAAGTTGTTTCTGATTAATGCTTTGAAGTGGTGAAGTCCTCTTACTAAAAACACTAATGCAAGATCTGCAATAACTGCATTGATTCATCATCTTCACAGTTGGCAGATTCTGAATGGCGGGTTGAAAAGTTGTTTCTGATTAATGCTTTGAAGTGGTGAAGCCCTCTTACTAAAAACACTAATGCAAGATCTGCAATAACTGCATTCCTTCTTTCCTCATCATTAGTTTCAAAGCCCTCACATTCATTTGTTGAACCATTTAATTGGTTATGAGGGTCCAGACTTATTTCGTCAAACATTAGTGCAGAATACTTGCAAGTTTCGTCTAGGCCAGCATCAATATATAAACAAGAACAATAAAAAAAAGATCCACCAAAATACAAGTCACAAAGCACCAAGCAGAAATGATATCCAAATGACACAAATAGCGATAGCTGTCAAATGTCAACATCAAATTACGGGCCACCTATCAGATTAAGGTAATCTGTACCACCGATGGTGTACCGCCTTGCCAGCGGCATCCGACGGTTTGGTATCGAACTAAAAATACTGTACCAAGTTGCATGATAAGAGTGAATACCCCCTGATACCCCCTGAACACGACAGTAATTTTTGCTAAGTTTAATCAAACTGACACAACTACTACGTCAACAAATAAACAAACACCAGCGTATTGATCGAGCAGTACAACGTGAATTTGGACTTCAATTATTGTAAACAGTTGTTTTCATATGAACAGTATTACATTTTTTGTTAAATAAAAGCAATTTTCCAACAATATTGTGGTTTTCGCCCACTACAAATAAAAAAAATCATATCTCTAGAAGGAAGCATTTGCGGACCCATGTTCATACGACCTTTTCGACTCAAATTGACTTGAGGAACACGCAGAAAAATTTTGAGTATTTGACAATATCCTAGTGAGTGAGTGCAATATTGTTTTATTATTAGAAATACCTTCTGATTGTAATACAAAAAATTGCTTCTAGTGGATGGTCAAATATCCCAAAATCCTTTTTAAATCTGAATGAGATGTTTCATTAAAGCTAGAGAAACACTTAAACCTAAAATGATTAAACATTTCATATATTTATATATATATACAGTCGAGTCATTAATTTTCAGATAATGATTGTAGAAGGAAGATAAACCAAAATATGTGTGTAAAAATAAAAAAAAATAAAAAAAAATGTTACCTTGTTTTATAAAGTATCCTCCCGACAAGTATTTCAGTGCGGACCTGTATTTGATCGTGAGGTCTTGGAGCACCGGCATGCCGTCCATATGTGAGGTCTTAAGTCAAATGATTCACGACCCGTTGTACTACATTAACAAAGGCACGAGGGGTTGGTTGCACTCGATTGGGAAACCGATCCGCATAAACATGTGCCATTTTTTATTTAGTTTGAGCCACGCAACAGACACCACTATCCACTACCGACTGACACTGACTGTATACAACTGAATGAAATAATTGTAAAAACATCGTTCCAAATTCTTTCGCTTTTTTGTTTCCGATGCGATGAACCGATAAGGCGAATTATATTCGTTGTCGCCAAACACGAGCACATAATATTATTATTGAGATAGGGCGGTACTCAAACTTCCAAAGGGCTATAACTTTGTTACTTTAATTTTAACAGAAAAATGGTAAAGGAAAAAAACATTTCTTTTGATCAGATCTACTCACTGTTAAAATAAATGACTCAACTTCGAAGTCACCCTAATATAATAATTAAATTGTTTTACTTGTAGCAGGTTAAGTCATTTTAATGGTTCATTAATTTTAGACAAATTGGTGTGATCAATCTATGTAAACAGTTTAATAAATGTAATTAAACGGTGCGTTTAATTGAACTAGTTCCACAGACTCAAACTTTTTAAAATCGGAGTTTAATCAAACTAATTAACTTGTTCGCTGTCACATGGTTGAATAAATTTTTCGGTTAATCTAATTAAAATTTTAATTGGTTCACTAATTTTTTTTCTCGGTATGTAATCGTTTATATCCAGAAATATAACAAACACGTTGCAGCCGTACTGTCTACCGAATAGGTACTATTAACATCTACTGAAATTCATATGCCTATTGTAGGAACTTAGTTTGAGTTCTTGTAAACGCTTGTAACTTGACTGAAAATACAACAAGATCATTGCCGCGCTCCTGTTTTTTACCGAAGCTCGACTGAGATCTGTATGTCTGTAGCTAAGATTATCAGGCGAATTTGAATGAATGGTAGGTAGCAACTCGATTGTTTACAATTTTACTGTAAATATAACAAAAGCGGAAAAGTACTCAAGTTATTAAAAACTAACACTACATCTTGGGGACAGAAAATTTATTTTGTCGCCGGATACTTGTTGCACGTGGTGAAGGTGAATGACCCGGAAATGTGATATGATAGACAGATGCCAGATGCATGTCATGAAAGAATGTGGAAGTGTAAAACTTGTTGGCAACTTGAAATTCTGTGGTATAGTGCCTACTAGAGGCGTTCGAAAAATATTTACATATTTCCCAAGATGCTGAATTAGTTTTATTTTGACAAAGGGTACTTTATATGAACCATATGATGGTAATGACACACCAGAAAAGATGTGTTATGTGAAAAAAAAGTATAATTCTTCAGGACATGCCAACTAAAGACTTATTTATGTAAAACCAAAAGCAGTTGATAAAACTATATTATTGATGAGTTGGGAGAAATTGAACCATTATTCATTATGAATAAACATTTATTATTAATTTGGACAAAAGGAACAGAATTTTGGATGAAAAGGATGGAAAAGGCAAAGCCAGATCTGGAATTTTGTATGATGGCTGTATTATTATCAGAATTCGTGTTATTATTGGGAATATATCAATTCTGTTATTGGGAGTTGTAGGAATATTGTTTGAATGTTCATTTTTGGCGAAATATTAGACGGAGAGCTGAAAGCACTTCGGATAATCGTTGTTGATGAACAGTTTTGATAGCTTCCGTAGATTTGAAGCATGGAAAGTATTGTCAGAGATGCTAATTACCATTGTTTTCCTCTGTTTTACCAAATCGATATTGATACCTATTAATTAATGAAAAACATTCTCTCTATCACAACCTTTTAAATAAAACTAGAAATTTTCTAAAAGAACAACCTGATACATAGGCCAAGCATCTAGATCGTTAAAAGGCGGGATAATTTTACACAAAAGTGACGCCAGATTACACCCAGAAAGATGTGCTTTGGCATCACATGTTAACACTACAGGTCATTCTATGTCTATGGCAGTATTAGGGTTCTTGATAAAGAAGAATACCTTTCAAAACGCCTATTTTTTAAATGTCCCACATTTTCATGACAGATCAGTGTATGAATAAAAAGACTGATGTTAGGCAAGTTCGTATCATTTATTCTTACTTGTTCAACTGCGAAAAATTAAAACTACTACATATTCCAGTTAGTTCAGCATCTTCACAATAATAGGTATATCACAAATTTCTAATATACACGTATTCCGTAAAATAAAGGAATTTTTAAAAATTTTCGAAATAATTTTCTTTCACACAACCCATGTTTTCTGTTGTGTCATTATCATTATAATTTTAATATAAGGTACACATTGCCAAAATAAAACTAATTCAGTAGTATCTTGGGAAATATGTAATTTTTCGAACGCCCGTCGTATGTACTATACCTGATAATTTTAAGTTGGCAATAATTTTACACTTCCACACTCTTTCATGACGTACATCTGTCACTTGTCTGCCATGTCACATTTCCAGGTCATTCACCTTCACCACATGCAACAGGTATACGGTGATAAATGAAATTTCTGTCCCCTAGTTTTTAATAACTTGATTACTCTCTATATTTTTTTATCCGTTCAGGTTTATTGTATCCTTCGTTAACAATAAATCCAATGTGTCCAGTCTTTTGTTTTTATAATCGTAACAAGTGGTCTCATCCACGTTTTCGTTCTAAAACAAAATTTAGCAGCAACCTCATCGACAAGTAAGTAATTGGAAATTTAAATTTGTTCTAAATTGGATGCTACTTTGATATTTATGTTGTGTTAATTTTTGCAAACGATCATTTGGAATTCGGTTCGATTCATTACTTAGTGCTTCATACAAGGCATCCTTATTAGAGTAATTACGAATAGGATTCAAATCAGCACTTTGGCTTGGCCACTCCAAAACTTTGCCGTCCAGTAGGAGGCGTGGTCTCCACTGTCTTACGATTAATAAAAGCCTTATTCCAAGTGCTAACCAGTTGCCGGGATACCTTAAGCCTGCTAGCAACTTCTGATTGTGTTGATCCTTCTTGTAGGTACGCTACTACAGCATTTTTGAAGTCGAAAGAATATTCATTTGTCAACGGCATGTTAAACGATTATTCAACTCTTAAGTACAAGTGATACCGTTGACCATTGGAACTTGAATAGTTGTCAAAGTACTTATGGGCGTCTATTCAAACTTTTTTCTGTGGAATACCCACAATTAAACAAACAAGTCGCTACTTTTTCCTCGCAATACGTGTAGCTACATCGTAAGGTAGCAATAGCAAAAACCGTATCTATTTATAAACACGTAAGAGCAATTTAGTAACAAAATTCCACTAAATTGTCAAAATACTTTTGAGCGCTACTATATACCATATAATTATACTATGGAGGAGACGGACATGTTACTGGACATACAAAGTCACCAAAGTCTGGGAATGCCTTCTGACATAATGCCAAAAATAACAAGGTATGCTAAGCCCTTCTTAGTGATAATTCATCAGAGGAATGAGTCAGAATAGGAAACTCACCTATCGAGGAAAGGTATCAGTGCATACACAGATGGTTCCAAGACGCAAGTAGGTGTTGGGGCTGTGGTGTCTTCGTGCCTAGGAACCAGGGCATCGATTTTCCATGCAGAGCTATACGCTATAGAACTATATATCAAAATGATCGTAGAATGACAACTGAGGAACTGGACTATGAACATCATCTTAGATAGTCAAGCAGCGCTTCAAGCACTTGATTCCACCTACTCAACATCGAAATTAGTGCCGAATT